AAGTGCTCGGGTGGGGGCTTTTTGGGTTGGGTGCTCTGGTGGGCACCTTCTGCTGGTGGGAAAGTGCTTTGGTGGGGCTTTTAACTGCTCTGGTGAGTTTTTTTTGGCCTTGTGGGGGCCTTCTGCTGGTGGGAAAGTGCTCTGGTGGGGGCTTTTTGGGTTGGGTGCTCTGATAGGGGTTTTCTACTGCTGGGAAAGTGCTCTGGTGCGGGCTTTTTGGGGGCCTTCTGCTGGTCTGGAAAAATTGCAAATCAAAGCCGGATTTTGCCAAGTTAAATTCTGTTCGTAAAATGTGTGTTTTAGAACAGGCTGGTGGCCGATCTCGGGAGGGACCGCATTTGGGCCGTTGCTCTGGCGGGTGCGCTCCCGTCTGGGGTGCAGGCAGTCGCCGGAGCAGCGAAGCTGCGAGAGGCGCTGTGCCTCACGTTTGCCTCCTGCTGCTGGAGGGTTAAGCCTCCAGCTTGGGCCTGGAACTGACGCCGTACAAGTAAGGCTTGAGCCATACCACCAAGTGAGGTTTGTGGTCAAGTGTGCCCAGTCAGCACACCTCTTAGTAGTAAAGCTAATACCCGAAAGCCGAGACCATTTGCCAGCGACGTGCTCTGGGTGCTCTGGTGGGGGGTGCTCTGGCGGGGGCCTTCTGCTGGTGGGAAAGTGCTCCGGTGGGGGCGTTTTGGGCTGGGTGCTCTGGTGGGGGCCTTCTGCTGGTGGGAAAGTGCTATGGTGGGGCTTTTTGGGCGGGTGCTGGTGGGGGACCTTCTGCTGGTTTGGAAAATTGCAAATCAAAGCCGGGTTTTGCCAAGTTAAATTCTGTTCGTAAAATGTGTAACTGGCTGGTGGCGGGGTGCTCCGTCTAGGGTGCTCTGGTGGGAAAGTGCTCTGGTGGGGGCTTTTTGGGCTGGGTGCTCTGGTGGGGGGCTTCTGCTGGTGGGAAAGTGCTCGGCTGGGGGCTTTTTGGGTTGGGTGCTCTGGTGGGCACCTTCTGCTGGTGGGAAAGTGCTCTGGTGGGGCTTTAAACTGCTCTGGTGAGTTTTTTTGGCTTTGTGGGGGCCTTCTGCTGGTGGGAAAGTGCTCTGGTGGGGGCTTTTTGGGTTGGGTGCTCTGATAGGGGTTTTCTACTGCTGGGAAAATGCTCTGGTGCGGGCTTTTTGGGGGCCTTCTGCTGGTCTGGAAAAATTGCAAATCAAAGCCGGATTTTGCCAAGTTAAATTCTGTTCGTAAAATGTGTGTTTTAGAACAGGCTGTGGCCGATCTCGGGAGGGACCCCATTTGGGCCGTTGCTCTGGCGGGTGCGCTCCTGTCTGGGGTGCTCTGGTGGGGTGTTTTGGTGGGGGCTTTCTGCTAATAGGAAAGTGCTCTGATTGGGGCTTTTTGGGTTGGGTGCTGTGGTGGGCATCTTCTGCTGGTGGGAAAATGCTCTGGTGGGGCTTTAAACTGCTCTGGGTTTTTTTTTGGGCTGTGGGGGCCTTCTGCTGGTGGGAAAATGTTCTGGTGGGGGCTTTTTGGGTTGGGTGCTCTGATAGGAGTTTTCTACTGCTGGGAAAGTGCTCTGGTGCGGGCTTTTTGGGCTGGGTGCTGTGGTGGGCGCCTTCTGCTGGTGGGAAAATGCTCTGGTGGGGCTTTAAACTGCTCTGTTTTTTTTTTTTTGGGCTGTGGGGGCCTTCTGCTGGTGGGAAAATGCTCTGGTGGGGGCTTTTTGGGCTGGGTGCTCTGGTGGGGGCTTCTGCCGGTAGGAAAGTGCTCTGGTGGGGGCTTTTTGGGCTGGGTGCTCTGGTGGGGGCCTTCTGCTGGTCTGGAAAATTGCAAATCAAAGCCGGATTCTACCAAGTTAAATTCTGTTCGTAAAACGTGTGTTTTAGAACTGGCTGGTGGCCAATCTTGATTAATTTGATCCGAGGAAATATTATCCCCCCCCCCCCCCCTCTTGGCAATTCACAGATCGTCAGAACACTGATCTGCATGATCTGTGATTTGGCTGTGATCTGCCTGTGATCTCACAGTGATCTGACCGTGATTTGCTGATCTCCAGTGATCTACAACAGTGTTCTGCGTGATCTGTGATCTTCCAATGATCTACAAGATCTGTGTTCTGGCTATGATTTCTCTGTGATCTCTTGTGTTCTGGCTATGATTTCTCTGTTGTTGAACATAGAATGTGTATGTTTGCTCAATGTTGATACAAGGGACAAAACAAGCACAAACCAGAGGGGTCAAATTAAATTCATCTCTGATTCATATGTCAGAATTTTGTCATGAATATTCATATGAATTTCCTCATGAATTTTCACCGTAAATTCATCAAGTAGACGATTTGGGCCGTTGCTCTGGCGGGGGCGCTCCCGTCTGGGGTGCTCTAGTGGGAAAACGGGTACTCTGCTAGGGGCTTTCTGCTGGTGGGAAAAGCTCTGGTGAGGGCTTTTTGGGCTGGGCTCTGGTGGAGGCCTTCTGCTGCTGGGAAAGTGCTCCGGTGGGGGCTTTTTGGGCTGGGTGCTCTGGTGGGGGCTTCTTGGGCTGGGTGCTCTGGTGTGGCCCTTTGCTGGTGGGAAAGTGCTCTGGTGGAGACTTTTTGGGCTGGGTGCTCTGGTGGGGGCTCCGCTGGTGGGAAAGCTTCTTTTGGTTTTCTGGTGGGGAGATCTTCGAGAAAGCGCTCTGGTAGGTGCTTTTTGGGTTAATGTTGGAAAAAGCCTTCCTTGATAAGGGGGTTGGGGGGTAGAAACCCTAAGGGGGCAAGCCAAGACCATTTGAAGTAGTTTCTGGGTGCTCTGGTGAGGGCGTTCTGCTGAGGACTCCTCTTTGGTGCTCTGGTGGGTAGATGTTGGGGAAAGCACTATTTGGGCTGTTGTTGGAAAAAGCCCCCCTTGATAGGGGGTTGGGGGGTAGAAACCCTAAACCCTAAAAGAGTCGAGTCTGGGTGGGTCGAGGGTGGGAAAGACTTAGATACGCTGGAGCGAGCGGCTCGGGGTGTTCTACACCCGAGCGAGCGAACACAACTTAAACACCCTAAACCCTAAACCCTAAACCCTAAACCCGAGACCCCCAGCCCCCAACGTATGTTGCCGAGGCACGGAGGTTGCCTCCTCCTCCTTGGCCGGGTCCGGCCGCGGACCGGAGAAGATTTCGAAGTTAGAGAGCGGCTGGCCTTGAAAGGGTTTAGGGTTCAGGGTTTAGGGTTTAGGGTTTAGGGTTCAGGGTTCAGGGTTTAGGGTTTTTTTGTTGATGCTTTTAGGAAAAAGAGGGGCCTTACTAATTGGGAATAGCGGTTTTTTTGGGTAGATTAGACTGTGACTATAACAAGGAACCCACAAAACCCCTAGTCTAATTATCAAGGCCACCTTTTCTTTAGCAGGTTTGGGGCTTGAGGGAACTTCCGGAGTTCGGGAATTTTTGGGTTGTAGGCTCAGGGCTGTCGGTTCTCCGGTTGAGTTTTTGCGGAGGGTTTAGGGTTTAGGGCTTAGGGTTGAAAGTTTAGGGTTTAGGGTCTAGGGTTTGGGGATCCCTCTGCTCCCCTGCCGGTTCAACCACAGAAAGTTCATAGCAAGCACCAAGGCTAAGAGTTGTTGTGGTCTTTCGGGTGGACTTGGAGGCGATGTGGTATGACGGTTTAGGGTTTAGGGTTTAGGGTTTAGGGTTATGTAGAGGTGCTTGGGAAGTGGTGCAACCTGTAGCAAGGTGAGTGACGGCTTTGCGTTGTATCCGGATTAGAGAAAACCAAGTGGGGTCTAAGATAAGGGCTTTCAAGGGCCAACCTAGCAAAGCTTCCTCTCGCAGGTGAGATCGAGCACCTTCAAAAGCTGAATGCTCAATTGAAGGTGCGCTCGGGACAGCCCCTGTGGAGAGCTCCCCAAACCCCAAACCCTGAATCCGAAACCCAAAACCATGAAACCTTAATCCCTAACCCTAAACCCTAAAACCTTAGTCGCTCTACCTGTAGTAGTTTGAACTTGATAGTCTTCGTGGCCCTGTGTCATATCTCGTGGCTTGGTGTCATAGCTCGTGGCTTCGTGTCATAGCTCGGGGTTTCGTGTCATAGCTCGTGGCTTCGTGTTATAAGGTGGTTCTCAGGGTGCGGTGGGGTATGACAGGATCCTAGGATTCCAGGTTTAGGGCTCTGAAGGTTAGTGTTTGTTCAGCTCTGGGCTGGTCCTTGGGGCTCAGGGCTGGTTCTCAGGAGGATGTAGGGCTGGGCTGGCCGTAGGGTTTAGGGTTTAGGGCTCTGGGCTGGTTCTTTAGGGTTAAGGGTTTAGAGCTCTGGGCTGGCCTATAAGGTTTAAGGTTTAGAGCTTTGGGCTGGCGTTTAATGTCTAGGGCTTATAAGGTTTAGGGTTTGAGCTCTGGGCTGGCTTATAGGGTTTAGGGTTGTTGTGATCAACTGTTGGTCTCAGGGTGGGGTGGGGTACGTCATGGTCATAATGAAATTGGATTGAAATTGGGCTGTGAGCACAGCAAGTAGTTTACGGTAGTCTCGAAAGACTGAAGGTCTGACCACAACAGTTGAGTAAACATCAGTTGTGAGAAACCGACGTGGCGTTTCAAAAACAAGTTTAATTTCCGATGTTGGGGAAGTCTTTGGGCGGGTGGGTATTGGTCTTGAGGATGCATAGCCCAGCTACTCGGAGCTGCTGAACCACTAAACCGTAAACCCCAAACCCTAAATCATAATTCCTAAACCCTAATTCCTAAACCCTAAATCCTAATTTCTTAACCCTAAGCACTAAATCGGAAACCCTAAACCCTAAAGCCTTGAGCCCTAAACCCCAGACCCGAAACCCTAAACCCTAAACCCCAAACCCTAAACCCTAAACCCAAAAACCTTGGTTCAAAACCCTTCAACCACAAACTCCGGCTCCCAAAGCCCTGAACCCTAAACCGTATGATTTTCAGCTTCAGAAGGTTTTTTTCTCAGGCAGACCCCGTGAAGCTTTCGGGTTTAGGGAGGCGTGGCATGGGGTCATCCTGTGTACCGGGACCCTTCTTGCGAAATGAGTGACAGAGAGGGAGAGGGAGAGAGAGAGAGAGAGACATGGAGCTAAAGAGAGAGAGAGAGAGAGATAGATAGTTAGATAGACAGATAGATAGATAGATAGATTCGCAGATAGATTCAAAGATAGATAGATAGATAGATAGATAGATAGAGATGTCTTACGCTCAAGCCCTTGCGATCACCAAAAGCCCGGCGAGCAGATTGCAGGGGCAGCTCCGCCAGCAGCATGCCGCGATGCTTCGACGCCTTGCTGCGACAGAAAGGGCTGGGCTCAGGCTCTCGGGTTTTAGGGTTTTAGGGTTTAGGGTTTAGGGTTTAGGGTTTATAGGTTTAGGATACTATTTTGGGGGTTCCTGTTATAATTATGGTACACTATAAGGGCTCTAATAATTAGAATAGGGTTCTGGGGCCCATTTTATTATAATTATCATAAGGAGCCCACCACAATAGTATTATATAGTACTTATTTAGGCCCTTACACTAGGGTTTTAGGGTTCAGGGTTTAGGGTTTGAGGCTTTCAGGGCATGGGCTTGAACTGACGGTTGAAGGCTTGTGGGGCTAATTTAGGTGCCTTAGGGATTTTAATAGGGTTTTGGAGTATATTTATGCCATAGTTATATTAAGGAACCCCCAAAATAGTATCCTAAACCCCTAAACCCCTAAAC